AAAGTGTCTAATAGAAGTGCAAATGTAAATTAATAGGCTTAAATAATATTACACATTTTCGCCATTAAAATGTCTACTAAACACTATAAGTACTATGTTCTATGTTTCTATGTAGTTTGAGCTGTGTACATTCCATTAATCTCAAATGTTTCCAACAAAGTTCAAACCTCAAGAAATCGTGCGGATTTTATTTCAGGATAATCCGGGACGCTCGTTTGTCTGCTCCAACAGCGTGGGAGAAACTGATTTTATCAAGGGGAACTGCTTTTATTCAGTGTGTTTAGGTGGTTTTAATCCAGCGGGTTTGTTTGTTTTTGAGGAGGAGGGAGACTCTGTGAAAAAGGGGCCCTCCTGCTAGAAAACCTCCTGAACACTGAGGAATCCTAACCGGGAGACCAGCTGACTGCAATGACAGCAAATGGTGGTGAGAGATGATGATCCTACACTACCTTAACATCATCAAACTTTATTTACAGTACCATTTAGGACAGTAGATTTAGCTACCAATAACTACTGAATTCAACAGGCTTCACTTATTATATTTGGAAACGAGAAGCTAATATTACACTCACTTCACTGGCTCATAAAGCATGTTCCCATCCCTGTGTGTACATACAATGAGAAGAGAAGAGAAGAGAGAGAGAGAGAGAGAGAGAGAGAGACGAGAGAGAGAGAAGAGAGAGAGTGAGAGTGAGTGTGTGTGTGTCCTCACGCTGAGCAGGTCCTGTTTCTGCGTGTGGGCAGAGGGCTGGGGATGAGGTAGCCTCTCATGGGGGAAGGCGAGCGGTCCCTGTGTCTACAACCTGGAGGCTGCAGAGACTCTGATGGGACAAAAAGCAGTCACACATGGTACAATACTACAACAATAAGCATGTGCTGCTGTACAATATACAGCACGATTGTCTTTGTTTATGGTAATAATCTTATAATTAAATAAGACAATATTATTACCACATAGCATTCTGCTTTTTTTTTTTTTGTTGCTTCCCCCACTGTTCGTCTGGGGTTGTTATAGATGGTGCAGCTACAAGGATGACGCAAACAAAAATTTGGTCCATTAAGTGCCCAGACAAGCTCAAACTGGGGTCTCTGCAGTGGTGGTAAACCACTTTATCCTTGCATATCCTTCAATCCTTGTGTCATGTCAGTACTTTCCCCATACATAAAATCTCAACAGAATTAAGCTCTGACAAATACATCAATATGTTGACCATATGTGTCAATATATCTTTGCCTAAGCTAATTGCTACTTCTACAGAACTTGTGTGGGAGCAGTAGAGAACAAGATAAATAAAGTACAAGATGAAAGAGGAGGCTGAATGCTTTGATAAATGAAGGTAGTCTGATTATTTTGAGTTTAAACTGTGTAAAGACCGGGGACTTGAATGCCGAGGTGAAACTAGTGGCAGCAGTTCAATTATTAAGATTTTCAATATAGCAACAAAACAACATGTTATGTATTTAACAATGTAATAGATTACTCCTAAAACCTGCATTACAAAATGGGATTGTGCTGGGTTTATACATAGCTAACAACTTACATCTAGTAACTTTAAAGTGAAGGCCCCTGAGATAATGTGACTTCCACCTGGGTCAATTTTCTCTTTAAAAGTTGTAATCCTTAAAATTGTTATGAAAGCAAACTTATTTTTTTCCCCACCATTCCTGTGCTGGATTTGAATGGCACGAGAGATACACAGGGAATGACGCATATATAATCTAGCATTACTATCAGCACCGAGATAGAGCTGTACAGTTGTCAACTATTAAACTAATGGCCAACTATTTTGATAATTGTTTTTTGAAGAAGAAATTTCCAAATTCTCTGGTTTCAACCGCAAATGTAAATATTTGGACAAAACAAACAAACATTTGAGGATGTCACCTTGGGCTTTAGGAAACACTGATCAACATTTTTCATCCTTTTTGGGCCTGGAAATGGAAGTAATTCATTAATTAAGAAAATGATTGACAGATTGATCAATAATGAAAAAGACTTTTAGCTCCATGCCAATATACCCTGATTTTTAGTCCCTATCATATGCTCTGAAAGTTCTGGATTTTACATGTCCCATAATGCAAGATTATATCATCTTTCATTAGTAAATACTGAATGCTAAGTGTGCACATCTTTCATATACCAAGCTATAATTTGAGACTGTTGAGAACACCAATATCACTGTATCATAACGTTTAAAGGTTAAGACTCTAAAGTCTTTTTAAACAGAGCACCTCTTTTCCAGAGGACTTATAAAATATGCCTTTACCTGGTGACAATGGAGAACGCGGGGAGGTCGGCGGAGGAGTCACCGGTTGTGACCCCTGGATTGGCGTGGCCTGAGAGGACATCATGAAAGAGGCGGAGTCAATGGGTGGGGTGGAAGGAGGTAGGTTTCACTGAAGCGGGAACACAGCAGAGGATGCTGAAGACCTGGGGAGAGGAGCACAGGAGGACACAGTCTTTAAACTGATCACAGTCACATGCAAACTTCTCATGAACATGCTCTCTACCCAACTCCCCCCACTCAAAACAAACACTGAATCAGTGACCTGCTGGTGGCATTCTCAGAACCCTTGTTACCACTGTTACCATGGCAACCCGTTTGAGAACAGGCTGACGCCAATGCGGCCTCGCAGAGACCGAGAAGGAGAACAGTCCCCTCATTCACCTCGGCTGGGGACTTACATCATCAGTAATTACATCACAAGCTATGTCAACCAATCGGGGAAACGCAGAAAAGAAAACTGTTGATTGAATGAAACCATAAATTTCAACTTTCCATTACAGGTAAAGTGTTCAAAGAGAGCTACGAAGAAAAACAGACGAGAGGGAGGGAGAGAGGGCTGATAGACAAATATAATAAAAGAAAACAATGACTGAGGCACCGGCAGCAGGTCAGTGAGCTCCTGGACATCGCTCAAAGTCACAAACTCTTCTCAGCTCTGCAAAGCGTTTTAGCTTCTTTTAGCTTATTGTTTTTGCCCGCAAACTCTGCATTCAGCTAAATCGTTTCAGCAGATTAAGTTGTGATAAACTCAGTGTACACTACCTGCCCAGCACTAAACAGCAGACACACCATCTTGATAAGTAGCTGGTGAAGAAAGAGCCAGATATTTCCCTGGGGAGTTCAGACTGTCTTGGTTTTCCCAGGCCACATTCAAATCAGGGTAAGCCCTATTCCAGCCAAAGAGGGATGGTAATGCATTATGCAACTGCAATGCAATTATACCTGCTTGACATTACCCTGTTAGCATGACCTTAGCATATAACCTAAAGCATTGATGTACCGCATCAAAGAGCTGCTAGCGTGACTGTAGACTGTAAACTTATTTCACTATGCACGCTGTATACAATTAGCTCCTTTTGCGCCAACTCGTTTTCTGTTGTTTATCTCATAAAGAACCTATATCACCTGACAGCTACAGGAAGTATGGACAAAAAGCAGTACTGATAAGAAAACACTCCGCCAGGCACAATTCAGTATTGATCAAATGGAACGAAGACTGTGATGGATTATCCAGCTCTCTGGGATCTGGTTTTTGTACTGGACATGGGTGAATAGTAGCAATAAAGGGAGGAAAACAATCACGGATATCTTTCTCTGACAAGCCTCAGATTCACTGATCAGAGCCAATCTCGAGCAGGTCTCTTATCTCTGGTAGTTCTAGGTTATAGTTACGTGTACATTTATCAAAGGTGATCTGCTCAGCATTCATAACATTCATGCAGCTACACACATTAGCAGCAGCTCCGAAGCACAGAGCAGAGTGAGCTGATCTGTCTAACTCAATAGACACGAGGTTAATGTAATCACAGTCTCTCTGGACAGAAAGCAGGAAGGAGGAAGGCAGGGTATGACTGACAATCCATACACACACTCACACACACATTTCACCACCTTCCTGAAACTCACAAATGGGAGTGCTAACCTCGTTCCACAGCAACCACACTGACATGGCTGTCTGCAGACAATTTTTCTTTATCGGCCTTGTGAGAGCAGGCATTGACCGATGACAATTATCTGAAAATGCCAGCTAATCGGCCCAATTAATGGGTATTCTTGTGCCTCCCTAATTGGTTTGTTACCGTCAGCGACCTTTTCCGCATTCAACATAGTCAAATGATCCATTGTTAATAACAATAATTGTAATAAGAAATATTGATTAGTGCTGTTTTAAATGTCTGTTCTTAGAACATTTATCAGCTACAGTGAGGTATGTCACACAAACACTCAAAGTAATTGGAGAGTTTTTATGTGTCTCATGGCTACATTTACTGGAGAGATCCAAATAAAACAGGAAATACAAATTATTAACAGGTGGAGAGAAAGTAGTTGAACAGCAATAGGGAAGGGTTAGAGGAAATGCAGGAGGAGGAGGAAGAGGAGAAACAGAAAAGTGTCTGATAAGAAAGAGATAAAGCCTGGGGGAGGCGTGACAAACATGATAAGGAGTACAGATTTAGCTTGCATGCTGCTTTAAAGGGCCATAATAATGGTTAGCCATGTTCTAGCCAACTAAACACAAACTCATTACACTGTACCTTACATACTTGCTGAGCATTTCCCCAAGCATACTGTAACTCTAGATGTTCTGCCTTTAAGGTAGCACTTGCTCTCTGTTTATCCCAGAACGGTTGAAGACCAACTTGAACCTTGGTTGCTGTTGTGTGGTACTGAGGATGCAGGCAGGAAATACTGTGCGGGTGGTGCATTCAGGAGCTATGTATACTTCAGGATCTTATCACGATCCAACCCAGAAGAGTCAAACCTTGCTGCACTGATTTGCATTTCCATTACCAGTTTAAA